CGACCCATGGTGGGTTCCCTTTAATGGACCTGCTGGTCGTTTAGTAGTGAAATTTTACGATTTTCTATACGCATTAGCCATCAGTGACGACGTACAGTTAGGCTTTTAGTTGCGACGCCAAATTTGGTCGATCGCTTAATGATTCTTGCATACAATTTTCGATCCATACGTCTTAAATTGTCTCTTGATTGGACCCTTCATTGGGCACTTGTTCAATATTAAAATTGTGAATGTCGCATTTAGTGTAGATAGTTGTTAGCTTCTTTTTATTTCTGGACCCGTTACGCTGACTGTCTTCCCACTTCACTTTATCTTTTCATTAGCACAATTGCACAGGTTGAACTTTTGACCTGGCGCAAAATGCATCCAGCCGTTTAGACAACTCGCCCACTATTAGTAATATATTGTGCTGATGACAAGTTTGTGCGTAGGTATAGTTTATGATAAAGGGGAAGGTGGAATTTACCTTACGTAAATCGTAAATAAATATTTTTCATTTTATCGGTTCTTTCTTGAATGAAATCGTTCATTCATAAAGGTGATAGCGTTCGCATATGGTGTAAATTGTTGTCCTTGAATTCAACACTACATAATATGTATGTACACACATTACGATGGTATATAAATATGAATGTAATCGATCAGTATGTACCAGAAGTATGCTTGCATATAATTATTTTTTTTTTGTAAAGTTGTGGGCTTGGTTTTATGACCATAAATAGAATATTTTTTTTATGAAAGTGTAAATTAATGCTGCGTATTCTAAGTTGACATATGGTCAATAAGGAATTGAAAGCAGTGTAAACCAATGAAGTAACAAAAATGAACGTTCAATAATAAAATATTGTCAAATTTGCACAAAAATGAAACCAGAGCTTTAGTTTAACAGTTGCTTCTTGTTTCTACAGTAGGTATCCACGCAGCATTTGTTTTATCGTAACAATTAACTCTATTGTTACCATTTGTTTTATATTATCTTTTGTTTATTAACTATAAAGTTATTTCGTACTACATATTTTTACTGCTGTAGCTTGTTGTTTAACAGACTGTTATTATTTGTGCATTTCTGAGGTCGTCTTCAATTAGTTGTAATGAGATCAATTGGTGGTGTTACTCATCGTTCAGCTGAGTTACATTACAAAATTTTTTATAATAAACGAACATCAACATCTGTGTTTTGTTTCTTCGTATTCTTCTGTTTATTACACTGATTAAAAGCAGCATCAAACGCAAATTTACAAATCTACAAATCTTGGACGACTGTTTTCTTTCAATTAAAGACTTTGTCTATCTGTTTTATGTCTTTATTAAAAAGAATGTTTTAAAATACTTCAAGATCTAGTGAAGAAAAGTCTTGTAAAGTTTCTGGTTTGTGGTAGGATATTTGTTCTTCAGATTTTTCTACCTGCACCTATACCTGTCCACCAGGGGCTCTTTATGATGTCTTAGTCTGCTTTATTCGAATAAATATTTACCTAGAAACCAGTCTAATCGTCGCTGGCGTGGTTTTTCATGGAATGTTCCTCGCTTTATGTTAAACATACTTCCCTGTAGCAGACAGTAGCATTATTCATAATGAAGCCCATCTTAAAATTAAGAAGTCATGTTCCATGTAGTACTACACACAATAATAATAATAATAATTATAAGCCTGAGGTTGTTCGGTAGAATGGTTTTTTTTGCAAGCATTTTCTTTTCTTGTTGAACGTAAGTTAAAATTTCTAAAAAATGTAAATCTCATTCATTAGAATTTACTTAACAAGCTTGCAGAGTAAGTAAAGAATCTTGCAACTGAAATACCTCTTGCATACCTCGGTTGTGTAGCCGGGCACTTATGTATACGGAAATCGAGAAACGTGCTACCGAATACGTCTCTAGTTAATTAATTAATCAATTCATTGACACTTGGAACGTTCCAAGATTTTTACAATTCCTAAACAAACTTGCTTTGTTATATTTACGTGGTTCTTTTCGTTTCCGTTCACATACTTGACATCTCTCAAACGTTACACCAAGAGTGGTATTTTGCAACTTTGAATGAGATAAGCTGTCAAGTATTTACAGATCGTGATTTAGAATATTCTTCGACAAAAATCGATAATTTGATAAGCACTTCAACTGAGAGAACAAACTTATAATGCTTTGCATCCCAGAAAATGCCCAGTCTTCAATAGTATTAATCGTATCTTCAATATACACATTAAAAATAGCAATGAGTAAAATTGATCGTGATTTTTATATAGACCAAGATAAAACCAAGACCCATTTAACATTGTCAAAAATATTTTCTAGATCTATAAATCCTACGTATACGCTCGTTCCTGTTCCTATTTTTTTTGAGTAATTCCCGCAAAACTAATAAAAGAAGTCACGTATTTTTTTTTCTATTTATTAATTGAAGTTATTATTCTTTTAAACCGTTCGACGATCGGTCCGGTCCATTTCGAATGCAAATGTATGATTAATGATCACGATCTATACCCAAGTTGGGTTTGCGAATCGATTAAGAGTAAATCGATCAAGTATTATATATACATACATGGCTGGAGGTAATTTTGACAATAATAATCATTTTTTACGGTCAACAGTCATTACTTTCCGGCGTCCAGCGAAGAAATATTTAAATAATACGCGATATACGGGGTGGGGCACGCTTATTATGAGTAATTCTTTCGGGAAAGACATTTATTCCATTTAATGTCCTTCTTATGAGACCGACAAATTGCCGGTGTCTTTGGAGCAATTGCCGTCTGTTATTTTCTAGTAAATCTTCGACGAGAAGATGATAATAGTCGACGTTCTAAGGCGCTGATTGAATTTTCTCGTTTTATTTATGACTCTCGGATCCATTTTGTCCGTCAGCAATTTAACCCCGTAGCCGCAGCGATCGTTGAGGCTAATTGGACGACCCATTAGCCGCAACAAGTCAGGCGACTCAAAGGTATTGATGACGGGGGGACTTCTATTAACGACCTTGCACCCTGAACGCGTCCGGTCGATTTGTACTTGGTTGCCGCTACTGACCTCGAGGTGTTCTCTTCTTCGATCGCTCAAGATAGCATTTCGCTTATTTCTTCATTCGATCGAAATATTGAGCGCGATCATCAGCAATCGATACTGCCATTACGCGTAATCGAACTTAAATTACCTATATCGGATTAGGAGAATCTTTGTTGTGGTTATTTATTGACACGTCGCAGAAGAAGGAGAATTTTCATATTTAGACAGTACTGTGATGATTTTCAAGATGGGATTTTAACATTGCATTTTAAAAGGAAGTTATCTGGGACCATTAATAGATTTAAATTATACCAATGCAAGGGAAGAAGAAGTAGAGAAAGAGCGAATATAAAGATAGGAGACGAAAGATTAGAAGAAGTGGCCCATTTTAGGTATCTAGGAAGTCAGCTAAGTCAGGACGAAAGGATTAGTAGATATATAAAGCAGAGGATAGCGCAGGGTCGAATCGCCTTCAATATAAAGAAGTCACTTCTAAGCTCGCAAACGGTTAATTTAGAAATTTGGAAAAGGTTGTTAAAGGTATATGTTTGGAGCACAGCGTTCGAAATGTGGTGTTACAGGCGAATGATGAGGATAACGTGGATAGAGAAGATTAGAAATGAAGAGGTATTAGGAAGAATAGGAGAACAGAAGACTCTATGGAAGTCAATAAAGAATAGGCGAGATAGGTTGGTAGGACACCTTCACAGGCATGAAGGTCTAGCCAGAGACAAATTGGAGACAGAAACGGAAGTTAGGAGGGGTAGAGGTAGACCTAGCTTAGATTACTGTTAGCAAATAGTTAAGGATGTGGGTTGTTCTAGTTTTAGGGAAATGCGAAGATTAGCTCAGGATAAGAAAGAGTGTAGGTGCGTGTCCAACCAGTCTTAGAACTGACGACCTTATGATGATAATGATGATATCAACTAATCTCCATTGATTTTGGACGACTATGTTTGGTTAATTTAGGTAGATTATGGATTAAGACACATCATCATCATCGTAAGGTCGTCCAACTGGTTGGACACGCACCTCCACTCTTTGCTATTCTGAACCAATCTTCGCATTTTCACTAGAACATACCACATCCTTAACTTTTTGCGAACAGTAATCTAATCTAGGTCTACCTCTACTCCTTTTAACGAATGTTTCTGCTATTAATATGTCTCTCCCTAGCCCTTCGTGCCTGAGAAGGTGTCCTACCAACCTATCTGGCCTATTCCTTATTGACTTCCTTAGAACCCTATGTTTCCCTTTTCGTTCCTAATACCACCTCATTTCTAACCCTTTCCATCCACGGTATCCTCATCATTCGCCTGTAACACCACAATTCGAACGCTTCTAACCTTTTCCGCCTCGCCCACCGTCCATGTTTCGAACCCGTACAGCACCCCGCTCCCGACATGTACATTTTTGGCAGGATCTTCAAAATGATGTTGAGATTTTGAGATTTAGGTTTGGAAAATCTCTGTTAACTTTTACATTTTTATTCACGAAAGGTAAACAATTTAGCTAAGTTTCTGTCAATGAAGAATCTTGTTCCCTTCTCTCTGATCAACAGGAAAATTGTCTTCTCCTCCCTGTATCTTAAACATATATACGTTACGTGTATATGTCGCAACCAATAGAGAAAACAACTCTCTCTTTCGTCTCTCTCTGTCTCTCTTTCTTTTTGCGGTTGCTAATTTTATTACATTGTCATGAGGCGATACCGAGACGTCGTTAGTATCAATCACAGCCTATGGCTCTGGTAAGCCGATCCCTTTCGCAATAACCAATTAAGAACAAAAACGCGAAGGCCCATAAAATCACGCGGCATAAGTGCACTTGCATGTAACAATATAGACACACGGTATGGCACGTTGTATTTCAGACGGCTTTGCGCGCGGGCATATAAATAAGTGCACCCGTCACGTATGAGACACTTAATTAACACCGCGAGGCCCGCGGCTGACGAAGGAAGACCGATACCGTGGAACCGATCCGTATTTTCGCCGAGAATGAGGAAAAGGACGAGGCGCAAGCGATATGTACCGACTGGTAAGAAAACGGGAAAGAGAACTCACGTAAAGATTGATGGGATTACGTCGGAATCGGGCGATCTTCATCTCTGTAACGAACCTGCCTCTACCCATGATGGTGGTACACGTAAATGGCACACTTTTGTAGCATGATTAAAAGCTAACGGAGCATGAAGTTGATAAAACCAACATGAGTACCTGTTGCATATTTTGTGCGGTGAAGAAGACTCCCAAGACATAAACTCTCAAATCTTTGGTTTTGCTACAAAAACTGCTGTTAAAATTCTTCATTTTATCAAAGAGATGTTTAACAACGTTGGGGTATGACGTCTTTTCAAATGGTATCCTTGCGTTCGCCATCAGGATTTTCAGAATCGGTTGCTTTAAAGATTCAACGAAATATCAAAATTCATTCACTACCATTTTCTTGTCAAACTTTTTAGGAGTTTAATTGGTAGAGCATTACAGTTAAGACGTAATATTCCGCCAGGATTTTTGGGATTGTTTAGTTGTTTATTTGGATGAAAATCCAAACCATCAATCGACTTATGTTTTATAACAATTGTTGTACATGTACATGTTACATGTATATAGAAAATACTACAAATGACGCGGTAAACGCCATCTGTAGCACGTTGCTACATTTTAGGATTACGTATGCTTCAACAAGGTCCACTTGTGTGGATATCTACTTGCTGAAAACGAATCCCGGCGTAGCCAACCTCAACGTGATAATTCGAAGTGGCCTGTATTCTGTCGAAACTGCCAGACGCGGGTCGCGATTTCGATCTTTTTGGATCTCATCAGCGCGTCGCAGGCAGCTCCGACAGAACACAGACCAACTTTTACATGCTGTCTTAACAGTGCGTTTTAGAAAATACTACAAATGGCGCAGTAAACGCCATCTGTAGCACTGTTAAGACAGCACATAAAAGTTGGTCTGTGTTCTGTCGGAGCTGTCTGCGACGCGCTCATGAGATCCAAAAAGATCGAAATCGCGATCCGCGTCTAGCAGTTTCGACAGAATACAGGCCACTTCGAATTATTTTGTTACATGTATATCACAAACAGAACCATTTCCTAATGGCCTAACATTAATATCATAACATACTTGAGACATACTGTAATTCTTACAATGAGTTGGAGATGATGGAAGGTCCAATGAATTACGTAAACTCCAGGAATCATTTAAAGTCTTGAAAATGCATAGTTAGTAACTAACTGTCTTTGCTCCTTCTGATATCTATATCCAAACCTAAACTGTAATAGCGTGGAATATGGAAATTTTCTTTCTTGATAACATAATCAAACCTCTAATTAGTTTGATTCTGTTGGTTGTGAAACGTTTCCGCCGTAGATATTGGCTGAATTTATGTCCTTTAGAAAGCTTGTATAGGTACATACATATAAGAAACTCCGTTGTGTCTATTTATTTACTAGATGGTACCGTACCCGTTTACTTCCTTTCCATTTCTCACTCGCACTCCCGTATGTCCCGTGCTCTCTCATTACTCGTTTGTTATCGTTCCCGAGTAACAACGTTGCTCGCTATCTACTCGTGTAAATCAAACGTTGTCAATTAAGCGGAAATTATTATTACAAAATTTTGCCATTTACGGTGTCCATCGCTGACATCGTCACCGGGATGGCGATTGCCATTTAAGTCGCGCTGAAAAATATCGTGATATAATGACAAAATGTGTAACTCTTCGTAAAGAAGATTATTGAATCGAAATGTGGTGCAGTCCATTTGGGGTTTTGTCCTTCCATATACATCCATCCAAGTGTAGAATGACTTTAGCTTTTGTTGGCTTATTGCTTTAATCTCCTTTGGAAGTTCCTTAAGTCATTAGTTTGAGTGTTCTTGTTGCTTATACGTGTGTATCATTTTTATAATCGGCGAATGATTCAACAAATGTTCCATTAATGGATTAGAGAGAAAGAGGAGCCCCTCCTTTCACCCCTACTCGCTGACAGGGTACGATTATCGATCGACAAGGAGCGGACCATGGTCGAAAGTGTGTTATTAAATTTTACTCCACCATGTAACGCTTATTATTATTATTTACCACTTTGCTACTCTATGATCAGCCGAAAGATGATGATGACTGTTACATTCCTTCTTATTATTTTTCTTCTTGGCACGTCCACATTAAGCAAAATCTAAAGAGGTCTTATAATGGCCTAGACGCTTAGAGTAAAAGTGTCCTGTCAGAGATTAGGATCATCCACTTTTTTGTTTAATCAACAAATTACGTACGCAGTTATTGCAAAAGTATTGTAAGTGCAGTACCCTTCTGCATGAAATTTTTCGATTTGTAATTACAACTTTTTTATCTTCAATCCAATTGGAAAATTTGGTAAATTTCTAGATGATGGTCCTCACCCCCGTAAAAAGTTATGGGGGTTGAAAGTTGATTATTTTGACAATTTTCATACACTATAATTCAAATAAAATTCAATAAAAAAATTATTTTCATGCGGGTGGAGGTGGGCGATCGAAGAAGGGTGCTCACTTGAACAAAACCCGATAACCTAACCTAACCTGTCCTATTGATAAAGATATTTAAATAATGTTTTATATAACTTTCTCAATATTTTTATGTATTTTTCATTAGTTTTACCTTTGGATATTGTTTAAGAATGACTGTATAAATATTTACATGCCTAGAAATGTATAAAAATTGGCATATTTATTAACTTTGAACCCCCATAACTTTTTATGGGGGTGAGACCGCCACGAACTTTTTATGGTACAGTGGGGGGAGACCTCCTCTTTCGACCCCCCCCCCCACCCCCGAAGACCTTTACCGAAAATTTCTTTCTTTCATATCAAGAATCTATAGAAATTGACTTCTCAGTTTCCAAAATCGTTCATGAATTAGGCGTAGTAGCCAAATTAAAATTGGTCCAACCCCCTCAACTACTCGGGTGTTAGGGAAGAGGCTGTTCTTCTTTGTAAACTGCAGATTTCTGTTTCTCGCACCAGGATGTTCCACATAAACAATACAAGTGTAACAAAATAATAATCACTATGATATTGATTGTGTAGGAGGTACCTTCTGTCTACTTTACATTTCACATTGTTTCTTCAACCTTTTTTCTGTATTATTTACAAAAAGCGGAGAGAGAGGCAAAGGCAGATTAGTATGGTCGAGTTTATCTCCATTATTTGTGCAGACACCCGGTTGTGAAAGTAGAGCTACACTTTTTTGTTATATAGTAACGAGCTGCTACTACAAAACGGATTGTTTTTAGACAAGAAGGCAATAATTTGCATTACCGAGAGATCCGTTAAACTATTAGAGCGTTATCGAGTCGAAAAAAAGTCCGCTGCGCTATGTCACTCTTTTTTTGCTTATTTTAATAATATAGTAGGAAGTGCCTCCGTGCCAAAAGTAGAAAATATTTCTTGTTACCCATATTACGTTAGAAAGATAGCAGCAAGTAAAAGATAAGCAGTGACATCGGTTAATCAAGTACTAATTCGTGTTAGGTACAGGTACCTACGTTAACATTTTATAGGTCGATATCTAAAGATATTTACAATCGTTTCTAATTGTTAATTGAAATACTGATAGTGCATTGTAAACAAACCAACCGACATGTTCATGTTTCTGTTTATCGATAATGACGTTTGTCGTTTGTAGATTAAAAACCCGGTAACAGAAGTAAAATTTTAATTGACATTGCAAATTATAATATAACGCAAACCACACACGTAGTGTAAGTGTATTATCCGTTTATATGTACATGTAGGTACCCAGTTAATGACGCCTACAGTTTGCAAGTTTTCGTAATTTTTTCCCAACGTCTGCCGTTGCTGCTGCTCTTTAGTATTTTTATCTCGTCCGCTCATTAATTTTAACGCTTAGAAGGGTCTTATTATTATTAATAATAATAATTGTTAAGACCACCGTCGTGTCTATTGTATGTTGCCTGTTTTGCTTTTCTAAATTGCCCAATCACCGGAGTCTATCTCCGAAGAATGATAAATTATCGATAACTATTTATAAACAATGCTACTAGTACAATACCGTGCAATCGAGACGAAGACAAAAGCACATTAAACGACCTCAATAAACCTTTGAAGACACAAAACCAATCGAAGAACAATCGGTAATTTACTTGGTCGAAGTTTTGCTAATTTCAACTAATTCCTACTGTAGTTGTTGTGATCAAAAGATGTAATTAATTTTTTATTACTTTTTTTTAGCTGTACATCAAAGTATGTGGGTGAATACTGTCAGTACCTGAACCCGTGTCATACTGGACCGGGTCCCCGTTGTCAAAATGGGGGTTCGTGTCAGGTACGAGTCACTCCCGGGGCGTCACCCAGTTTCGTCTGCATTTGTCCCTTGGGTTTTAGCGCGTCCCTTTGCGAAATACCAATTGCCAACTCGTGTGACAGAAGACCTTGTCTAAATGGCGGGACGTGCTCCCTGAGATCCCTTGACACCTATCAGTGTTCATGCGCCTCAGGATTCACAGGTAAGATCTTTAAAATTGCTTCCTTTTTGCAATTTTTCATCTCTAGTTTGTATATCCAAATACAAGACTATTGAAATAATCCTTGTGTTCTTTGTGAATTATTCTTAATGGTTATACTTCTTTTACTTTCTCTAGCAATGTGCCCCTTCCAATGTGTTAGATGCGCCCTGGCACAATCGTAGGTAGGGAGAAAAAGGCTCATTATACTCTCGATTCTTGTTCATTAAACATACTTTTTCATACAGTACCTGCCAAAAGTTTTGTTCAATCATGAATAGTAGTAGTAGTCGAAAACAAGCGTTAAAGCCTTTAATATGTCTTCAAATATAAATAAACATCTCGTTGATATTTTCAGTAGTAATTGGTACCAATAACAGCACATTTGAGCAATGCAATTGTAGTGGATAAAACGGTCATTTTTTCCGTGCAGTACTGTACGGATTATACGCTCCTCATCGGTTAAGAGTTTCGCCGAGAGTTATCTCCTTTCTTTTCTGGCCTAGTGCTGTTCTTTTCTACTTTGCGCCGATCAAACTGAAGGTCACATCGCTAAAGAAACTAAACGAAGTACAACTATATTTTACATTTCCGATATCCTTGAAGGAACTAAAGATTTAAGAAGAGTGTCTTTTATTTCAGGAAAACATTGTGAAAGTCGCGATCATTGCGCCTCACAGCCGTGTCGGAATGGCGCTGTCTGTCATTCTGTTGGCGACTCGTACAAGTGCATCTGCTCAACCGGATTCACCGGACCCGGTTGCAAGGATGACAAGGACGAATGCAAACAGAAGCCTTGCAAACACGGGAAATGCCACAACACCCACGGCAGCTACACGTAAGTCACTTCTCTTTTCTTTTTATCTTCTCGAAAATACAGAATCACTCCACAGAACATTATCTAACTCATTGTTCTGGAGATATTGCATCTCAATGTTCAAAATTACTGTTGCAATCGATGAAAATAGGAGTCGAACGTTGCTGACGTGACAGGCGACTATTAATTCGTAGCAATCCATTTTCTTTAGAACGGAAATCACACGTGAGAATAAAATAACTCAAGACGAAGACCTAGTCCGTTGAAGGAAAGAGATAGAGGAGGTAGACTGACCAGCTCACAAATCAAGACAAGTGCTCGCCTCTATGCGCGTATGTGTGTCTACATTCATGTATTCGTATGTCTGTACAAAATAATGCGGACGTCTCCAGTTTATTTCCAACTAATTCCAGTAATTAGTCTTGATTCAAGAAAACGCGCTCGTTCCCGACATAGCACCTGCACGAATCACAACACCTCTCTTTCATTCACAAACAACGGTTTATTAAAATTTCGAACTTGTGATTACACCCAGTTACAAATAAACTAATAATTTAAACAAATAAAAACAGGTCAAGTCAAGCAAAATGTTATTAGATGAACGTGATTAGTTTGACGAATCTGTGACTTAATAAGTCGTTTTATCGTTGTTGCTACTGTTACCTCTCGTGGCTTGGTGGGGAGAGTCTTGGTGCTTAAAGCCAGGAGTCCCGGGTTCAATTCCCGGCGAGGGTATGAACAGCAGCAACAATTTTTCGTCATTAACTTGCGGTTATTTGTAAAAATATTAACCACTATGGAGTTTCTTGAAGTGTTTCATATATCTGTCATATTGAGAGCAATGAACTTAATTTTTGTATTATTTTTAAATGAAATATTTCGGCTAGTTGATATCGTACTATTAGCAGCCTACATATGAACGTGTTATCATATTTATCAGTTTCAATAGTCTCTCTTTTAAAACAATGAGAATGGTTTTCTAAGCGCAATAATTTCCTTCATTATCCTGCTGAAACTGATTATCGCACTCTATAGAAGAAAATGATTACCATCAACGTTAGATAAGTACCGTTTTTAATCCCATAACGCCTTCAGCTAAACTTCCAGGACGTTCGCCGAGCAACCCAACCAGGGCATCAAGCAAGACTATCCCAAACTTTCGTTCTTGCGCCAAGTTTTTAACTGATAGACCAATAATAATAATAATAGTGACATAATTAAGATAAAAGAGCGTTAATTGTAATTTACAAACGAATTTATGCTAATGAGAGACCCGTGCGGCGGTAGCCTGACGACAGTTGACACCCAATAGGCCTCTTAGAGAGTAGATTGAAACTCGATAATACCTAAACGAAATTTGAAACTGATCTCGTAGTAATTGTAGAATGAAATAGAAAAAAAGACACTGAAAGTTTTATTACGTATTAATGAATACCTAACGATGTAATAAACGTACAGAAATATAGCTAACGTGTAATTCTCATTCGATTATTTTGTTGTTTATTGATGTATTTTAATCAGTTGTGTGGCTTTTGTTTCTTTTAAAAAGTCTAAGAGTGGGCGCTTGCCATGTGTGACCGCGTACTCGCGCTGCTTTTGTACTACGGCATCTTTAATATGTCTGTTCTAATTCATAAAATGCACAGTTAAATTAGGGTAGTGTTATTAAATTTCTTTGTGTACACAAAAAAAAAAACAAAAAATTAGTAGAAGCCGCTGATTTTCGGTAAGTTCCTAGGAAGTCAGATAATTCAGAATGAATGAAACAATAGAGATGTGGGGTTTTCTAGTTTTTGGGGAAAAGTGGAGGTGCGTGTCCAAGCAATTAAGATCGACGATCCTATGATGATAATTGTGATGTGTGTGTTGGTTGAACTTTAAAATTGCGCGTCTACTAATAGCTCATTTGTTTTATGTTGTCGTATTTTACGAAATCTAAAACGAATGTGAGTGAAGCTCGAGGGCGATTTTAGACAAGCCGACCACGATCGTACGTTAAGTACAACAAAAATAATAATAATAACAATTCCGCCGTCGAAGCTACATAACGACCTGACCGGTACGTTCGAGAACATGTCCTGTGGGCATTCGGGCTTTGAATTGGTGGAGGCGTGGGTTCGAGGTAGACGGGTTCTTTTTTGTTTTGCATAGTCTCGAACTCGAACTGAGACCAGAGATTCACGAGAACTCGACTCGATCCCGAGGGCGAATATTCTTGACGAATTATTGTGTCGGCAATTTGAGAGACCGAAGAAAACCGCTACACCACTGAGATTTTATTTATGTAAATTAATCTCTCGAAACCATTCATTTAGTCTTTGATTTCTAAGAAAACGGGATCACGAGTCAGTGGGTGATGTTTTTTGCGTAATCGTCGAAAAAGTCTGCACGAGTTGATGAAATTTCAAAAATTTTAACGACGAAAATAAGAAAAACAAAGGACAAAACTGGTTCCCAAATTGTGAAGTGAAATCATTCAGTTACTGGCTGTATAAATTTTGACTTGATTATACGTTTGGTGATCGAACGTCAAAATTTGATTTAGTACATACATACATACGTCTGACTTACGACACCATTAACTTTGGAGAACACGATCATAAACTTAATGAGACTTTTTTTAACCCATTGGTCTTTGTGTTCGCCTAATTTTTTCCTAACAGCTTTGGCGTTTTTTGCTTATCATAAATTATTCGGATCGATTGCAATACAACTTGGATATTTCCATGTCAAAATTTCTCATACGTTTACTTCACATGTACCTATATTAAAAATCAAGTGGGTATAGGTTTTCCTTATTCGATGCAGTCAAATTTATCGAAATTATTATCGCAATAATTTTATTCATTTGTTTACGAAAATATGATTAACAGAAACCTCTAAAATAACGATTCAGCTTTCAATGTTCTTGTCCATTATCCATGAAAAAATATTTTATATTTAAAATGGTAATATTATGTGGGTACCCATTTATTATATCTACCTATATATTATTTTGATGCGTGGGTTTCTTAAGGAAACAGATAATTTATTTAAATAATTATTGTTTTCGATACGGAGACGGTGTAACGGTCGTGGAAGTTTTTCTGTATTCAAATTCTAAATTTTGTATCTGTAGAATGCCGAGTGGCTTCTTCGCGTGAACATAATGGGGCAATTTTTAAGGTATTTCAAGTTGAATTTAATTGGCTACATTTTTGAACGAAATTCTGTGAAAAATAGTAACGATCATCTTACATTTCTTAACGAAATATAACAAGTGTGTAAAATAAAATACAGTCAAAACCGTTTACGACGACATCGTTTAGAACAACATACCGGTTATATTGACCAAAATCATAGGTCCCGGCTTAATTCTGTTAGACCGCCTTATAAAAAAACACTGGCTTTTACGACATTGCTTATAACGACATATCTGTTTAAGCGACTACATTTAACTGATATTTTCGGAGAATTCTATCTGTTAGAACGACCAGCTGTATTGTAAACGTTTGAATGGGTAACAGTATCCATATCAAGTTCAAGAGGAAAATGACGAACAGGAAGAGACCGAAGAACAATTAACAGTGCCAACTTTGAATGATGGTCTAAATGCTGTCAGTGTATTACGGAAAATTGTTTTTTATTCTAATGAACAGTTTCATATGCAAGGAAATTATGATGATACTTACATTAATATTAAATCACACATTCAATAATAGGTATTAAGTACTTAATAATAACGTCACCGGCTATTACGACTATCGGTTTTTACGACCAAATATGAGTAGTCCCTTCGATGTCGTTACAAACAGATTTTGACTGTATTGTCAAAAATGGTAATGGTAATTTTGGAAACATATGAAGAAGATATTTAAGACTTTGTAAATCTTTTTTAACTCCGGATGTTGGATAGTTAGGTATTGTTGTTGGAAAATTTCTTGGCAACAGATGTTCTGTACTGTACCCATGCATCAACATGGTTCTTTTTTGTGTCCTTCAAGGCCGATGTTGACTCGTTCTTTCCTACGAACGGGTTCAAACGCAGAGAGGGCTCGGTGAAAAACTGGATGTTATCTTTTTTGCGAAAGATCTTAAGTTATTACGTGCGTATAATAGATTATCGACTGCCGATTCATGCTATCGGCGGAAAAAACTTGAAACTTACAGCAGCCAGTCCATTTCTTGGATATTCGCGATCCTTTCGAAATGGAAAAAAGAAAAACCAATTGTATACGTTATCTAGGTACTTGATGGTAGGTACTGCCTTTTGTAGCGGCTGAAGACTAGTATGAGAAAGAATGGATCGCTAATGTTGAAGTAAAGATCAGATCGTTAACTTTGGTTCGAAAAGCTTAAGAAGATGGAGAGAGAGAGATAGAGGGAGAAGAAACAAGAATAAGTACATTAAGAGAACAAGCTCTGCACAACCCTATAAAAGGACACAATGGGTTTTCGCGTAGGTACATATGCAACAACTACACAACAGGTTGTTCAATATAACCTTAAACTACGATAAGAAAAAGTGGAAAAAACGTTAGAAGATGCATCAACAACAGTCAAAGAAAAGTCTAAAGGCTTTCGGTTAATAACCAAATTCACGATTCCGTCATACACACACTAAATTAATAAAATCAAATAAGTCGGTAGTATCATCATCATAAGGTCATCAGTCCTAAGACTGGTTGAACACGTACCTCCACTCTTTCCTATCCTGAGCTAAACTTCGCATTTCCCTAAAACTAGAACATCCCATATCCTTAACTATTTGCGAAGAGTAATCTAACCCAGGTCTACCTCTACCCCTCCTAACTCCTGTTTCTGTCTCTAATATGTCTCTGACTAGACCTTCATGCCTGAGAAGGTGTCCTACCAACATATCTCGCCTATTTTTTATTGTCTTCCATAGAGTCCTCTGTTCTCCTATTCTTTCCAGTAGCTCTTCATTTCTAACCTTTTCTACCCACGATTTCCTCATCATCCGTCTATAACACCACATTTCGAACGCTTCTAACCTTTTCTTTTCCGCCGCTCCCACTGTC